AATAATATGTATAATGACTTTTGGGAGAACAAGTTGCCTATTCAAGACATTATACCGAAATATTTTGAAACGACTGACGACATAATGGCATCGGAGCATAACATCGCCTATACCAACATAAGATGCCGAAATGTAGCAAACGAGATTAGAAACAGGTTAAACAAGAAAGATAAATACGAGGTGGGCGAAATACTCATTGCCAGAAAATGGATTAAACAACCAAGGGTAAATGTAAATCTACGGTATAGAATTACGAGCATAGAGCAAGATGAACTCGGAGCGCAAATAACATTACAGAACATAGCAAATGATGAAGATCAGTTTATGCTGTTTGAGGCAATGGTTGATAATAACTTTATATATTCATACTGCGCCACCTGTCATTCAAGTCATGGAGCGAGTGTAAAGGGGAGTATAACTATACACGAATACAACTTACCAATAGTAAGCAGGGAGTGGGTTTGGACGAGCATTACTCGCTGTGTTGATTTTAGAACAGTCAGGTTTTACAACAACGCAAGTTTTGATAAACAAATGGATAAAAATATGATAATGAGATACTTTAGAAACAAGGTGGAGAATTACAAACTACAAGACAGGAAAGCGGGGAGAGAAACAAACGAGGAGGAATGCATAACCCCCGAATGGTGCTTGACAATGTTTAAAAGCAGGTGCGAGAGATGCAATACAGCATTCAATTTTGAAAACAAGCAAGGCAAGTTATGTAGCAACTTTACAGCACAGCGTCTATGCAATGATTACGGACATCATTTAGACAATTGTTGTGCTTATTGCTTTTACTGTAATGTATCGGTTCATTAAACAATGTTTATTTCTATTACTATTTATATGAGTTCAAATAAGCAAAAAATCATTAATGATATTTATTATGACTGCTCGGGGTTTGGGAGTAGGGCAACTACTTTGAAAGATGCCCGAGAGAAGGATAAAAGTATTACGAAAGAAGATGTTGAGGAGTTTTTTAGGAAAAATGTTGAAGAAAAGCGCAAACCGCGTGGCGAAAATAGTTTTGTAGCACCTCACGCGTATTTTGAATATCAGGTAGATTTATTCTTTATTAGTAAAAATGATTTAGAAAACCAAAAATTTAGAATAGGATTCGTTTTAATTGATATTTTCAGTAAATA